CTCCATTTTTTTCTAGAAGTTTTTGGTTGGTTCCTGCTCTTATTCTTATTCACCTTTCCTTCCCAACTGCTGGTCTGGCTGACCCATGGTGACTTCAGCCCCAGCACCACCAGCCATCCCAATTGCATAATGTTGAATCCCAAGAATCAGACTCATTCCAGATAACTCTTTGTTCCACTTCTCTGATTTTTACCTTGACTGATACAACTGTTTCAGTCTATCCATTGATAGAAAATATGTTTGTGATTATTGGGAATTTAAGAGGAAACAACATGGGAATAGAATTAGTATGATACTAGAGTTTTCAACCCTAACAGATATTAGTCTTTAAAAAAAAATACTGATACTACTTTCTTCCACTGAGATTTTGGGGTAAAGTTTAGGCATTATTATTTTTTTTTTTGAAAGGTGGTTACAGTTTGCACTCAAGAGTTATGAAATGCTGCAGTAGAGGAAAGAAAAAGAACAAAGAAAAGTGATCAATATCACAAACATACACATACAAGAAAGCATAGCAAGAATACATCAGAACATAAGAGACTCTCCTGAATTCAAATGGCAGAGAAGTACTAAAATTTAACCAATATTAGGCAAATATTAATTAAAAGAAAGACATAAATGATAGTAATATAAAAACAAAATAGAAATAAAAGTTAAAAGAATGAAAATGGACCAAGGATATTTACATTAATAAAGTTTATAGTATATGATGAAGAAATGTTTTCTTTCTTTTTGCATCTAGCATAACTTGGAGTTATACAAGGCAAAAACTGACATACTCAGAGAAAAATGAGAAATTAAATCACCTCTCTCAGAACTGAGAAATCAAGAAGAGAAAAATATAAAGGATTTGAAAAATATAATTAGCAAGCCTCATCTATCATATTAGAAGCTCTTTTAATGTCACATTCCTGATTCATTGGATTAATTGATGTTCTCTATTCTTTCTTTAACAGATGTCAATGCCCTTGACATGCAAAGGCTAGAGGAGTAAGCCGCTTTCATAATTCACCGCTTTTTTCTCTCCCCAGTTAAGTTATTTCAGATCTTCTAACATCAGATCCTATTAATGTTATTTTTAATATTATGTAACTAATAGAATATTAGTGTAAAAAACACTAGTTCTTACTAGAAAATTAGTTGAATATTTTGTAAAGATTCAATACAGATGGATCACTATAAAATTTGCTATCAGGTAAGTATGCATAAGACAACTATAAAATGATTTGAGTGAGAAACCTGGAAAATTTGAATACTCCACCAGTTTCTCTACATTGCCTTGCACCATAAAGAAGTCCAAATTAGAAATCATAGGCAATGCAGTCTGGTAGTGCAGTCCAAGAAAGTGGACTGAACTTCAATGGGTATATATTCAAGAATTTGTGTGTGTGTGTGTGTGTGTGTGTGTGTGTGTGTGTGTGTGTGACAGTCTTGCTGTCACTCAGGCTAGCTAGAGTGCAATGGCGCTATCTCGGCTCACCGCAATGTCCGTCTCCCAGGTTCAAGCGATTCTCCCTGCTTCAGCCTCCCGAGTAGCTAAGATTACAGGTGCCTGCCACCACGCCCAGCTAATTTCTGTATTTTTAGTAGAGATGAGGGTTTGCTATGTTGGCTAGGCTGGTCTCAAACTCCTGATCTCAAACTCCTGATCTGCCCACCTCGGCCTCCCAAAGTACTGGGATTACAGGCATGAGCCACCGCGCCCGGCCTCAAGATTTTCTTAAAAAGACTTTAAAAAGGTGCTGGCCCTGCATCAAAAGACTGACAACTGAATGTTTATTTTTGTGTATTTAATGAAAATAAAATGCATAGAAATTTTTCATTTTTTAAATGATCTCTCAGTCTGACTTTTGGGTTTACAAATCTTATCAGGTAAGAGAGCATTTTGTAAAGATAAAATTTTGACACAGAGAAAACAAATCTTATTCAAACATCCATGAAACCATTATAAAAGCTGGGAAAAGAAATCATCAAGCAATTACCATGCAACTAATGCAATGCCATGCTGGAGTCACACAGTGTATGACAGGCTCAGCCAGAGAGGTTGGATGTGGGCCTAGACTCTCTTGGCATCTTCTGGAGAGGTGTGCTTGAGCCACGGTTCAGCCCGGCTAACTCACTGCCAGGCAACCTAGAAAAATCCTGTTACCAACCAGGTGGCAATGTGGTTTGTCTCTGTATGAGTTATCATCACATAGGTTACATTCTCTGTTTACAAAGCTACAAAATTAGAAATCACAACAGAAGAATGGAGGAAAAAAAGTCATTTAGAAATAAAGACTCTTCTCAATATCTAAGGTTAAAAGAGAAAAATCAAAACTAAAAATACAGACTATTGGCTAGGCATGGTGGCTCACGCCTGCACTCCTAGCGCTTTGGGAGGCCAAGGTGGGTGGATCATGAGGTCAGGAGCTCGAGACCAGCCTGACCAACATATTGAATCCTCATCTCTACTAAAAATACAAAAAAATTAGCTGTGTGTGGCAGCGCACGCCTATAATCCCAGCTACTCTGGAGGCTGAGGCAGGAGAATCACTTGAACCCAGGAGGCAGAGGTTGCAGTGAGCTGAGATCACGCCACTGCACTCTAGCCTGGGAGACAGAGCAAGACTCCATCTCAAAAAGAAAAAAAAAATACAGACTATTAAAAACGAAGAAGAGTGAGGGTATTACAAATCAAAATCCATGGGTTAACTTCAACTTCTGGCCAAGATGAAGTAACAGGGATTAGATTTGCCCTCCTGCCTGAAACAACTAACACAAAGGCAAAATGTGTAAAACAAGACCATAGACATCAAGAACAAAGGACAGTGATCTCAGAGAACAGAAAACAAATGAAGCATGATTGCCTTGCTTGCTACCTTGAGGGAATGTTCAGGTAGCAGCATGTGGGGATGGGTGACAGGGCAGGCAGATCCTGGCAAACTCACTGAGCTCAGGAGACACGCCGAGAGTCCAGGAAAACAAAGGCATTTGGGATGGCTGGTACACAGCACTGAAAAGCGGCAAGTTGCACAGCGAGAGAAGTCCTAGAGACCGGCAGGTTTTCTCCAGTATTCATGAGAGAGCTGATCAGTATACAGGTTTGAAGAAACTACCTAAAGACGGAGAAAGAATTTCCCAAAAGAATTAGAGGGAGTATTTCTTAGCCTTCACATGTGACCAGAATCAATGTCTGTTCCCACTAGCCAGAATGGGTTATTTCATAACTCATGAGGCATCTACCTATTATTCAGAAGTCTTGCCTCACTAATGGGGTGAATTAACCCAAAAGTAAATACTCATGAAATGCCACCTAACAAACCTCAAAAGCAAGTCCTTTCTAATGGAAGTAGTGCATAGATTGAGCAGTGAAGGACAGTATTACGAGGACTAAAGCAGCGAAGTCATCAGAGGAGACTGAAGTAGCAGATGCCAAATAGGGGTCATATTAGGTACTGAAGCTTTAATTCAGGTGAGTGACAGATTTACATCTTCAGTTTTTAAGAGTGTGGAATGAATTTGAGGAAAGAAGACTGGAAGCACGAAAACATTAGGGGGATGCTGGAATAATCCTGTAGAGAAAATTGCCTACTCTTAAGATGGTAGCAGTGGGTACGGGGAAAGTGGGCACACACAACAAAATTATAAAGTGGGATAAAAATTTTATTTTAGATGGGAAAAGGTAGAAAATACTAGGTTAAGTAGTAAGGAATTTCTTTACTATAGTACTTGTCAGAAATTTTGTGGTGCTGTTTTTGACTAAGAGAAAGTCACACAATAATACACAATGGCTTCCAAACATTTTTTTTTTTTTTTTTTTTTTTTTTTTGCATAACACCTTATGAGACTAGCATCCCATGGGAAACACTCTTGAGAGAAACTGCTCTCCCACAAAAATAATCTCTTCTTTCTTTCTGTTCTTGTAGCTATTCCAAAGCTGGAGCTGGAGCATCCCAAATCTGAAATCTGAAATGCTCCAAAACATGAAAACACTTCCCAAGCATTTTGGATAAGGGATGTTCAACCCGTACTTATGAGTTGTCTCACCAACTATATTCAATTTTTTGAGGCTGTCTCGCACTGTCTCTTTACATGTATTTAGTTTGGTTACTTCCAGTTCACTGAACGTGAAGTGAAAAAGAAGATTCACTGGAACTTCACAAGCTTCCCTCAAAACGTCATTGAAAAAGATTATTCTGAGTCAGGGTCACCTGTTAACCAGCATGAAAGGATCTGACCACAGGTAAACTTGTAATAAAGCAGTATTAGGCGGGTACAATGGTACATGCCTGCAATCCCAGCACTTAGGCTAGGCAGGTAAGTCAGGAGTTCAAGACTAGCCTGGCCAACATGGTGAAACCCCATCTCTACTAAAAACACAAAAATTAACCAAGCATGGTGGTACATGCCTGTAATCCCAGCTACTTGGGAGGCTGAGGCAGGAGAATCGCTTGAACCCAGGAAGTGGAGATTGCAGTGAGCTGAGATCCGGCCACTGCACTCCAGCCTAGGTGTTGCAGCAAGACTCCATCTCAAAAAACAGCCAAACAACAAAAGAGCTGTACTCATCTTTGTTAAGTATCTACAAACCTACTGAATAAATTTTCATATAGATAAGACATCCAATAATAATCTCATTGGAAACAAATTCTACTGTGAAAATGCTTAAGCAAACAAATTTTTCATCATAATTCTTTGCTGAGTAGTTGAATAACTCTATTTACTTAGATAGAGAAAAACTGAGTTCATTTTTAAACAGGAAATCTAAGTGTACATAGAACTCCTAGAGACCACTGAAGGTAACTAAAGTACTCCAAACTATAATCCAGGGGTCACTGAAAATCTGATTCTGAAACATCATGCTCTGTATGTACAAAAGATATACTTCAAGATGCTCAAAATTAAAGAACTGACATTCTAAACAGCAAGCAATCAGTGAATAAAAGTATGTTGGTAATTCTTTGTACACAATGTCTCTGAAGTCAGTAACATCAAAAAAAAAAAATAAGACACACCCCTCCTTTTATATATTTTTTAGTATATTAAAAAGTGACAGTACAAATGCTGTGGTATTGAAAAGGATCCTTATTTTTCAACAAATGAACTTTTGTAAACAATTCTGTAAAGGAAAACAGTATCTTAATACATAAAAGTTTTTGTTAAACAAGATTTTAAAATTTTAAAATTAGAAAATGTTAAGATTAGATTCTCTCAAAGGTTCAAACAAAAAAGCTACCTGTACAATCTCCATTAAATGTGTCTTTGTACACAACCTGGGAACTTTGAAAATGTTAAAATTTTTAATGTTTGACCAACAGAGGCAGCACTTAAAGGCTTCATGAATCTTTTTCCAAAGGAGTATGCTTTCAGTAAAACATTTTACCATTTTATCTAACCATGCACTGACATTTTTGTTCTTCCTGAAAAGGGGATTTATGCTAACTCTGCATTTTTAGTGTAAAAACATACATGTAGAGATATTTCAACTTCCTGAGTGACTTATTATGCCTTGAATGTGATTTAATGAACAATTACTAAAATTTCTGAATGAAACAGTATGTGTAGATCTATACTTGTATGTTCAACTAGGGTAAAGCTCAAGAGCATGTCACAGAATTTATATCTAAATTATCTAAGAAGTTAAGCAATGCCTTTATCCCCAAACTTAACCAATAGCCTTCTCAAACAGAATGTTAGTAAAATGAATCACTGAAAAGTTGTATTTTTGAATTTATTAACAAAATACTGGTAGCCATTTTAGACTGTCAACTTGGATGTTTTCTATTATGTACACCAAAATCTGATTCACTAGCAAGAAATTTCTTGCAATATAAAAAGACAACAAATAATTAAAATATCTGCTTTATCATACAACTTTGCCCCCTCCTAAAGTGTCTAAAATGATTAGGAATTGTAGCACTTTTTTTTTTTTTTTTTTTTGCATAAAACCCTTTCCTCTTCATAAAACCCTGAGGTGAAAGGTTATTACTGTAATAAAACCACAATTCATTTTGTATGAAATTGTAGCTTTAAAAAATGTATAAAGAAATGTAACAACTTGTAAAGCTGCTCTGTACAGTTTTTCAACAAACTATTTCCTTATCCATTTAGTCAAAGGGCCTAAAATGACCCTATAAAAACAATGTCCTTTTAACACGTGTTAGTGTCGAGATGAGCGCCATTTTCCATCTCTACTACTGTCTCTTCTGTTATCATAGTCATGGCTCCAGCCATCATGATTCCTATCTTCATAGAAGAAATCATCTCTGCTTCCCCTGTAATGATGGTCAGACCCATGATCAGTATAACGCTGTTCCCGGCTATAATGTCTATCTGCTAGGTAGGGATGAGAATTCATTCTGACTTTACGCTGTGAGGATGGGGTATCTTGGCGCCACTGGGAGCTTGAAGACTGGTTAAAACTATGACTGTGTGATGGTGAAAATCCTGATTGATCCAGAGGTGGAGAAGCAAATTTTCCACCATATGACATTTGTCTCATAGCACTGTTCATCTGAGGGGAGAGGAAAAGCGGAAATATTAATACTTCTAAATAGCAAAGCCAATATGTATTTGGTCAGTTACAGATAATGAAAGAAAATAAAATCACTGTTGCCTAGATGGATCCTGTATTAAACACGACTAAAACTAAAGCAGTACAATAGCTTCATTAATTCCAATGTATACCTACAAGATATATACACATAAATACTACTCTTTGTCCTCAAGAGTGCAACTTAGAATAAGTCACACAAAATGATTATAACGCAAAATCACTGTGTAAAAAACATATAAAGAATCAGGAGGTCAGTATCATTAGGAAAGGTTTCATGAATGTGGCATATTATCTGGGTATTAAAACAAGAGATGGAATGTTTTAAGAAAATATTTTAAAGGGGAGATATGCCAAGAAAAGGCAATTGCGCAAACAATAATAACAGGGAAACACAGAACAGGTTCAGAAAATACCAAGTAATTCTGGCTGAGACAGCTTACAGATCTTACTAAGTAGTAAACAATTAAAGGTAAGACTACAGGGTTTACTGGAACCAGACAATAAGAATCCCTAATAACTGGGCTACAGAAATGTGTCTTTATCTTACAAACAATGGAAAGCCAATGTGCAGAGAAGATAAGCAAAACAGAACTGTAATATTAATTCTGAAATAGTGTGCAAGACGAACTAGTGTGGGAAAAATGAAGGTATCATTGACTAGACCGATGGTTTCCAAATTCTGCCTGTGGATAAATATTACTATATGATCATTTTTAATAGTCTACAGTAAAATTAGAAAAATTGGCAATATATACATAAAAGTTAACATGCTTCATACTGGTCTCTGAAATTTATTTTCTCTTCTATATTTCATTTTGCAAACCTATGAAATACAAAAGCCTGGGGACTATAAGCCAAGATCACGATTTAGGTACCAAACAGTTACCAATAGCTTCCTATTTGAATAAGTAATGACAAAGAAGAAACAGTAAAAGATAGCCAAGGTTTTAAGCCTAGTCTCACGATGACATTATGCCACCAAAAAAAAAAAAAAGGGTTAGGTTCAAAAAAGAACTGGTCTAGAGACCCAAGTTTATGAAAAGTCGCTCAGGATAAGGTGCAAGATCATCAGACAATGAATAAATGACGGTTGAAAAGAAAAACAAATACAAAAGCAGTTTTACTTCTATTTCTTCAGTCTTTTAAGTTTCTATTTCAGCCCAGTGAAAACTAAAATGAGTGCTCAATCTAAAAAGATCATGCTAGTCTAACAAAAATTTGGGGAAAGGGTATCTAAAAAGTCCATTTACGCCTTGAGGACTAAAGGAATAAAACCTCCAACTTAACAAAGTTAATTAAAAAACAGTTACTTGATACAACAGTAACATTTTAACAAAGCATGGCTTGTTTTCGGTAATTCAAGTTGAAAAACAGTCAACCTACCACTGCTTGTCTCTGAAAATTTTCTGGAGAAGAGAAAGATCTCTGAATTATCTGTGCTGATGAAGTCATGTTATCCATAGTTCTTTCGTACCTGCTAAAAGTAAAATCAACATATAACCATCCAATAATTATTTACTAAATGACAACCACGAGCAATACACATTTCTCAAAGGTCAGAATGAACCAGACAGACAAGTTATCTGCTCTTATGCAGCTAGAATAAGAATACAGGCAACAAGATATTTTCTCATGATTTTAAGTGATAAAATGTATGATTAAAGATCAAGCAGAAGTGAAACAGACAGGAGGTTCCCATCTTTTACCTGGCAAGGGACTGTCTTTCTAAAAAGGTGACAATTGTAGTAAAAACTGAAGACCAAGGTTACCTGGAGGCAAAACCTTCCCAGCTGAAAGGACTAGCGCAGGGGTGAGCAATTATAGCCGGTGGGCCAAACTGCCAAATTCAGTTTTCCCTAAACAAAGTGTTATTAGAACAAGCCACACCCTTGTTTTTGTATTATCTATGACTACTTTAGTGCTACAACGGCAGAGACAGAAACAGTATCTCCCTCAAAGTCTAAAATATTAACTATGGGTCAGGTGCGGTGGCTCACACCTGTAATTTCAGCGCTTTGGAAGGTTGAGGCGGGTGGATTACCTGAGATCACGAGTTTGAGACCAGCCTGACCAACATGGAAAAACCCCATCTCTACTAAATACAGAAAAATTAGCTGAGTGTGGTGGTGCATGCCTGTAATCCCAGCTACTCGGGAGGCTGTGGCAGGAGAATCACTTGAACCCAGGAGGCGGAGGTTGCGGTGAGCCGAGATTGCACCATTGCACTCCAGCCTGGGCAACAAGAGTGAAACTCCATCTCAAATAAATAAATAAATAATAAAACATTAACTATATAGCCCTTTCTATAAATAATTTGTCAGTCCCTAAGCTAATGTGAAGACCTAGATTGAAAACTAAAATGAAAAGAATTTGATCAACTAGATATGTAGAATGAGGAAAACAGAAGAAATAAAGGATCTGATCTGGACTTTTGGCTTAAGCAATTAGGTAGACATTTCCTGAGACAGAACAGAAAGGTTTTCAGACGTAAGGAGTTAAGAGTTCTACAACATGCATAGGACATTGAGGATTTATACCTTATTCCTTACTTCCTATAGGAGTAACTTGCTCTACAGAAAAACTAACTTTAAGAATGTTTTAAATTATTTTAAAATGTCATTAGAATCAAATAACCAATTGGCTGGTCTTACAGTTTGAATCTTTTAATTTTCAGTTTTCTCTAATCAGGTTATATTATCTGTATGCTAAGGGGCGGGGAGTACAATTCATATTATAAAAATTACAAACTCTCTAGCCTTTGATTAAAACCAAAGTATTTACTTGTACATTTTTTTCAAAGAAATTCTTTAAAGAAAGAGAGTGTCTCGCTATGTTGCCTAGGCTGGTCCCAAACTCACTGCCTCAAGTGGTCCTCCCACCATAGCCTTCCAAGTAGCCGGGACTACAGGCATCGGTCACTGCACCTGTTTTTTTTAAATCCCGAAAGAAATTGGGTGGGAAACTTCTTTTTATTTTCCTCCACCTAGGATGCCTTTGAAGATTTCATTAAAGTGGCGGGAAGTGCTTTAAATTCCAACTTTACCAAGAAATGTTTAAACACTGTTAGTTAACTTCAGCTGGCAAGAAAGAATACCAGGAGGATACCTTTTGCACTATTGCTTGCTTACAATTCCACCTTCCAGTATCTCTTCATATCCATCCACTTCTCTCTAGCTCATGGCACCACCTTAATCTAAACTGTCAACCTCATCCATCAATAGCTTCCTTGCTACACTGCTACCACTATCAATACCCTGCTACCAAATCCTCACTGCTGTATTTTCACACTTGCGCCCTCCAGTCCATTCTCCCATTGCAACCAAACAACTCTTAAAATATAAACTTGTTCCTATCAGAATTCTACCTAAAACATTTCATTGCCTTCCTACTCTATTTTAGGGTAAAACTTCAACATCCTGATAAAGTTTACAAGATCCTCTCCAGCCTATCTGCCAATATCCCCTACTGCTCTCCATTTTCATTCATTATGATCTAGGTACACTGGCTTCTTTCAATTCCACATTCGTCTGTATCATCTCCTTCTCTTAAAATTTTCTCAACTCGGCCAGGCGCGGTGGCTCAAGACTGTAATCCCAGCACTTTGGGAGGCCGAGGTGGGTGGATCATGAGAGGTCAAGAGATCGAGACCATCCTGGTCAACATGGTGAAACCCCGTCTCTACTAAAAACACAAAAAATTAGCTGGGCATGGTGGCGCGTGCCTGTAATTTCAACTACTTAGGAGGCTGAGGCAGGAGAATTGCCTGAACCCAGGAGGTGGAGGTTGTGGTGAGCCGAGATCGCGCCATTGCACTCCAGCCTGGGTAACGAGCAAAACTCCGTCTAAAAAAAAAAATTTTCTCAATGCCCTTTCTACTCTTTCTTTAGAGAGCTTATTCCAGTAATCGAACAGGTAATCGCGAAAATACATATAATACGTGTCTTCATTTAGACTTTAAACTCCTCCCCAGAGTGGTTGGGCTTAATTACACTATACTGCCTGGGTTTGAATCCCAGCCCACTGAACTTGTGCAAGTTAACCTCCATTCTTCATTTCCCTTCACATATAAGGTAGAGATAAAAATAATCCCTACCCTCATAAAACTGCTGTGAGGAATAAATGAAATCATATATGTAAAAGATTTGGTGAAGAACCTGACATATGGCAGGTGTTTATTAAATCTTTCTCAAATGACTCTTAAATAGCTCTACGGATATACCAGGAAAAAACTGTCGAGCTGGGCATGGTGGCTCACGCCTGTAATCCTAGCACTTTGGGAGGCTGAGGTGGGTGGATCACCTGAGGTCAGGAGTTCAAGACCAGCCTGGCCAGCATGGAGAAACCCCATCTTAAAAAAAAGAAAAAGAAAAAGAAAAAGAAAAAAACAGCAACCAAAAAAACTGTCCCTGGTAAAATATTAACCTCCCCAAAGCAAATAAAGTTATTTAAGTAAATATGATACCTTCTAACACTCAGTACCTGAAGGGATTTTCCAAATCATTTAATTCAACTTCTTTTCCTTACACATGGGAAGATGGGACTTAAGAAAGGAGACTAGCTCAAGATTATACAACTGATAGAGGCAGACCTAGAATCCAATTCTAGGAATTCTTAGTCCAGTAGTCTGCTGACTAATTGGTATTTTTCAACTTTAAGTAACAACCAAGAAATGATTATAAAATAAATACAAAATTTTTAAAAATGAAGTAAAATAGAAAATAGAAATGCAAGTAGTGGGGGTAAATAATGTTTTGAGAAATTTTGTTTCAAGTGCATACATATATTTTACACATATGTGGGCATGGTTGTGTTGCTACAAATGAACATATATAAGTATCTATTTTAAGGGAACTATATACAATATGTTTGTCTATAGCCCCCTTAGAATAGATATATAACTATAACCCCAAAAGGCAAGTAATACAGAAGAATAATAAAGACATAGGACCATAAAAAAGGAAACTATTTACTCATGTGTTTTGAGGCTATTCCCTGTAAGAATTCCTGATAAATGATCTTAACAATAAGTGAGAACTATTACCTGCTAGGAGATGTGGAGGTAGGGCTTGAATTTCCAACATGATGCTGGGGATATGACAAACTGACATCTTGCGATGCATGACTACTTCCTAAAATGAAATAATTTGAAAAATTATTTTTGATAGAAAATTTAATTTGAAATTTTGTCATACCACTTGAAATCACTCCAAAAAGGCAAACACAGTCTAAAAGAGAAAAATCTCAAACTGCTGGCCAGGCACGTTGGTTCATGCCTGTAATCCCAGCAATTTGAGAGGTCAAGCGGATAACAAGGTCAGGAGTCATGAGGATCACAAGGTCAGGAGTCATGAGGATCACGAGGTCAGGAGTCATGAGAATCATGAGGTCAGGAGTCATGAGGATCATTAAGTCAGGAGTTCAAGACCAGCCTGACCAACATGGTGAAACCCCATCTCTATTAAAAACACGAAAATCAGCTGGGCGTGGTGGCACGCACCTGTAATTCTAGCTACTCAGGAGGCTGAGGCAGGAGAATCACTTGAACCTGGGAGGCGGAGGTTGCAGTGAGCTGAGATCACACTACTGCACTCCAGCCTGGGCAACAGAGCAAGATTCTGTTTGAGACTCTGTCTCAAAAAACAAACAAACAAAAAGTCTCAAACTGCTGTAGACTGCTTTACAGTTTCATCAGAGTGAACATTATAAGTGTATAATATCGGATAAGCAAAACAAAGTATTCCATAAATATCCAATCTGACCATATTTTTCTAATCACCACCCTAAATTGTAAGACTGGATACACGGAAAGTTTCACCCTCACATGATCAAAAATCAAAACATATAAAAGTAATTACAAAGCAGCCAGAAGTATTTTCAGAAAATAAACCTAGCTCTTTTCAGAGCACTCGAGCCCAACTCTCTTAGTGATACAGTTTATGTTCTTTTCACTAACCCAAAATGAAATTTTAAGCTCAGTTTTAAAATTATAATTTCAAAATCTGTCAATGTTACCTGTTTTCAGGGATATATAAAGTTTGTTATTCACAATGCTTAAGAAAGCAGTTTCATCTACAAATAAGAAGTTCTTTAAAATTAATAATAAATTTAAAAACAGCAGGAAACAATGCCCCCCTAACCTCATTGGACAGTTACCTGATCTAAATTGAATTTTGATAGGCCTTCCATAAAGTTTGATTCCATTAAGTAGATTCATTGCATAAGGAACAGATACTTCATGTTTGAAATTCACAAATGCAAACTGCTTTGGTTTACCATCCTTATCTTTTGGAATTTTCACCTTTATTACTGGCCCAGCCTACAAACAAAAAGGCATTTAGAATGTAAATAAAGCAGCTAACGGAAAATACTCAAATTTTACAAATAAGAGATGACAAAATTTAAAAACAACAGAAATGTAATCAGAAACTTCGTTTAAAAATGATGCACCGATTTCCATTTTGGCTACAGTAAACATCCTAGTTATGACTGAACATTAGATTTATTTATTTGTGGAAGGGGGCCTATAAGGAACTGGAAACACCATCACTTTTGCAAATCACAGTACTGTATGGCTTCTTAACATAGTGACCAATCGCCATTATTTTGCCACTGTGAAAATGAACATTTACCAAGAACAAGAGAATGATTTTCTTGGGCTAAAAACTGACTTTTGTATTCATTAATCAAACAATACCAGTTATTAGGGGATAGGGTTGGGGGAATGGGATACTAAGAATCTATCACACATTTTAATACAGCAACACTAAAATGCTGTTTTTCTACGGAGTACTTACGATTTTATTTTATGCATTTTAATCATGCTGCAAGTTTATAAGCAAACTTTAAGGGAACACAGACACAAATAAATTAAAATATTACGTTCCCAGTCAGATAAACCAAAGGCAAATCATCCTAAGAGGAAGATGAGAACAGGAGGAATAAGAAAAAGCACTGCTCAACGGAGACCCTACACACGCACCATGTCCCTAAGGACCCCTGGATCTCTACCACGGGAAGCTTGACCGAGGATCCCTCCACCACCTTTAGTCGTCACTTTTGGCCTAAACGAAGCAAGATCTTCCAGGAAAGCGACACCCAGCGAGAGTTTCCCAACCCAGACGCGCCCTTCACCCCCAAACAGCCACCCGTCCGGTCCCCCGAAGGCCGAGCTCGCGCAAAGAAAACGGGGTGGCCGCTGGGCCGGGCCCTAAGCCAGACGGAAAACGAAAGGCCAAAGGACCGACCCCAGACGCTTACCTGGTGGAAAAGCTCGAAAAGGAGCTCCTCGGTGACTTTCGTTTCAAGGTTGCCCACAAAGAGCGTGCGATCTGCTTCCGCCGCCGCCGCCCCCATATCAACGTCGCCCCCTCCCTAACCTGGCCAAAGGGTCGAGGCCGACGCGCTCACTGCGCAATCTCGGAAGCCCCTCGTCCTCACGCTCCCTTGCGTCACCGACGTAAACGCCCGTTGCGTTTGCGCTCTAGGCGCGACGTGCGCAGACGGACTGCGCATGCTCGCGAGGGTGGCTCTCGTTAAAGGCAAGGCGGCTTTTTGCTCTTCCGCCGGCCCAGTTATGGCTTCCGGTGTCGTTAGTCGCGGGGTCCGAGACAGGCTGGACTGATCTAGCGAGTCGCGAAGGGCCTGCCTAGATCAAGAGACGTAACGCAGATACTGCGGGCAGTGTTTGAAGATGGCCCTAAACAGTGTGTCCCTGTCCGCCGGTGATCAGAGAAGCAGGGTGGCCTGCCGCTTTTCCCACGGCGACCTCAGCCCGCCGGCGTCAGCATTGGCGATGGTCTCTGGAGACGGCTTCCTTGTTTCCGGGCCCGAGGCAGTTCGTCTAGAACCTGGGCAGGCTGTGGGACCCAGCGTTCGGGCCGAGAGCCGTCGAGTGAATGGTGGGGGCCGGGGCCGGGGCCGGGGTCGGAGCCGGAGCCGCCACGCCCGATTCTCACCCTACCGGCTACCTGGCGTTAAATCCGATCTCTTACGAAGTGCGCTGCAGCAGCGTTTGATTGCATTCGGAGGTGTCACCGCAGCTCGACTTGCAGTTTAAACCAACTCCTTTCTTCTGACCCTCACTTAGCTTGTAAACACCCCTCTTTAAAATCCTTTGTTGGTGTAGCAGCAATCTTGTTGTCTTATTTTTAGATGGATTTATTTTTACTTAATATAATACATGGGAGTTATATGAATATATCCTAGTACTAACGGAAGGGTAACAGTTGATTGATTCAGGTGGTTTTATGCAGGCAGAATGATTGGATCAGGGAAGCGGGGGTGGAAGGGATTTTCTTTTTTCTTTTTTTTTCCCCGGAGACGGGGTTTCACCATATTGGTTAGGCTGGTCTCAAAGTCCAAACCTCAGGTGATCCGCCCGCCTCAGCCTCCCAAAGTGCTGGGATTACAGGCGTGAGCCATCACGCCCAGCGGGATTTTCTTAGGTCGTCTCAAAGCTGAGCTAATGGGACCAACCTTCCCAGAGATCAACAATCCTTTCATTCACCTTTTGTTCACAACTTTCCAACAAGGAATCCCAAAATTCCAGCTTCCTGTCTACCTGTTTAACTCAGACACTTTATTTTTACTTCTGTTGGCGAAAAAGAAATGCTCCTTTTTATTCCACTGACTTATCCTTCCATCTTTTCCTCAGCATTTATCATCTTCCATCTCTCCCTTCACTATTTTTTTTCAGATATGTCTACAAACTCCAATCTCAGTCACACTAAAAATAAGAACAAAACCTAAACCCTACTGTTCTTTCAAATTATTAAATCAACTTACATTTCTTTCTTTGGCAAAGTTTCCAAATAAATTTTTCCTTTATGTTTGTAATTTTACGATTTGCGTTCAATCTCAGCTCCTTAATCTGAATCTGCTGTCCTAAAATATACTGGTGAAAACATTAATTGTACAGTCTCCTATCAGAAAGCTGTTCATCTGCTCACTGTAGTGCCCTCCTTGAAGTTTGTGTTTACTCATTCAACTAACAATATTTGGGGATCCCTGGGTTAAACACTGTATGAACTTTACACAGTCTGGCCATCAAAAAAGAGCACAGAGTATATTCTAGATGGGGAGGCTACTAAGTGAATAGGAATCACCACACTGGGCTGTTTATTAGGTACAGTAATAAACCTAACTATTGGTTGCAGTGGCTTTCCATAATACTGCACTATCCTGGTTCTTCTCTTATCTGACTGATCACTTCTTGTTTGCTGATATTTTATGTTCTCTTAACCATACATTTCCCGGTGTTTAAAGGGTTGTATTGTGAGAAAGTTAATGGGTTTTGTAAGCGTCTGCTCTTTATATATAAAGCTGGTAGACTAGCTTTTTCCCAGCAGACTCTTGTTTAGACTTCCTTAAAATAATTATGTTCAGATAAAGCAGTCTCCCCATACACCACGTAGTGTTGAATTGTTAGAACTACGTTTTAAGAAGAATGTTGATTAAACAAGGTAGCTTCCATAAGAGGCTGAGAATTAATATATTGATAACTCTAGAAACAAGATCATAGGAAGAATGAAAGAATAATAATAGCTACCTTTCGTTGAGTGGTATGTGCAAGTCAATGTGCTAGGACTTTTTATTGTTTATAGAGAGATTTATTGAGAACTTACTGTTACTTGCTACTGCCTGCAGTAGACACTTAGAATAAAGTGGTAAGCATGATAAAGCCTCTGTTCCTGAGGAACTTTATATGTTATTTGATTCTCACAGCAGCCCACAAGAGGGGTATTTTGCTTTTGTTTTGTTGCTGAAAAACAGCCTGAAGGGGATAAAATAAACTTTCCGAGGTCATACAGCTACTAAATGATAGAGCTCTGCAGCCTTTCAAATGAGGTGCCTCATCTGAATGCAAAAAAAAAAAAAAGACTTGAGTAACTATTTTCTCAATTTTCCCAAGGGTAATATGTAACTAATATTTCAAGTAACTAAAAAGAAGTTAGTTTAGGATATACAATTAATGCCTTAACCTGGGCATTACAAAAACTCGTGGTTGAGAAAGGAATTCCAAACTATAACCAGAGTTTCAGACTGGGGAAGAAAAATAAAATTAAAGCTGAAGATAAAGGCTTTCTTAAAAGTTAGAGATGACTAATAGTGGCCGGGCACGATGGCTCACACCTGTAATCCTAGCACTTTGGGAGACTGAGGTGGGTGGATCACGAGGTCAGGAGTTCGAGACTCCTGGCCAGCATGGTGAAACCCCGTCTCTACTAAAAATACAGAAATTCGCCAGGTTTGGTAGTGTGTGCCTGTAATCCCAGCTACTCAGGAAGCTGAGGCAGGAGAATTGCATGAACCCAGGAGGTGGAGGTTGCAGTGACCTGAGTCATGCCAGGGCACTCCAGCCTAGGCGACAGAGCAAGACTGTCTCAGAAAAAAAAAAGGGGAGAGATGCCTAGTAGTGGAAAATATCACCTCAAAAGGTAACAGATTAGCTGCCAGAAAGTTCAGATAGAGGCATCCTATGAAGGATTTTGTCAAAGGAGTTCTCATAATGTGAAATATAACTAGATGACTTATTCTTTTTCCCCCATTTAGCATATAATCCTATGCTTTAAAAAATAAATGTGGTTAAAATTGGAAATGGGAAATTGGGGGATGAGAAGAGAAAAATTAGGCATGACACATCGGGTGACCATATCAGCAAATGAGGCACTTGGGAGTGGAAGAGAGTACTATCAATTATGCTGAGGTGACAGGCAGACCAGTTGCCTCATATAATTATCACCTACAAAATGATTCAGCATTAAATATGCCTTGGAAGCATATTTTTTAGCCTGTGAGGGAAAAGAAGATGAGATTTGTCAAATGCAGGAACAAAAGTCACAAAAGTGCACTAAAACAAGGGAGGACCGAGTGGAAGTGACTTCATTTCTGTTTGTTCTGGAAAGGAGTAATCAAGAATAGGGCTTTGGTTGAATAATAATGTATGTGCAGTAGAAAAGAAAATGGTGTGGTTTATGTTTTGTTTGGCAAGAGGAGAACCCTGTTTACATTAAAGTGCTCCATTATTTTAAATCTGAGTCAATGGATATCTAAATTCTTGTTCTTAACCTCGGCAGTAGCATTCAAGTTACAATGTGACCCTCAAGTCACAAAGACTATATTGTAGAAGCATGAACCAACCTAAACCTCTTTTTAATTAAATTATCTAAAGCAGGGACAACTAAGTTTTTCAAGAGACCATATTATTAAGCATCCCTATATTAGTGCACAAAATGAAATTTTATATATCAATGATTAAGCATAGCATGTTGTCATTTTAAAAGAGATGAGTTTTAAGAGTAGTCCCAAACAATTACACTTCTGTAAGTTTTTAAAAAGCCATTGTAACTTTCAGTTTGTATTGCCCCTTCTTCGTCTATCATACTAAGTAACTGGCTAGCATATGTTGAAGTGGGGTCCTAATAAGATATTTATTTCCTCTATTCATCAGCACTAAAACTCCTAAAAAGCAGTTTTAAGAACTCTGAAAAGAAGAGTTGTGTTATCTTTTCTTTTGTTTTAATATCCATTTGGGAGACAGAAAATAAAAAGAGACCAATGAGATTGCTTCCCTCAGTAGCCAGATCTGGTGATAAAGGTAACTTTAAGAGGGCTGACAGGAGGTAGAAAAGAAAAAGGAGGGCAAAAAGTCCAACTGGAAGAAAAGAGTAAGGTTCAGCTATCTTTCCAGCAGAATTAATTGTAGGTCTTTCATTCCCTTGGTAAGTTTATCCAGATCCCACTAAGGTGCAGCTTTTATTTTCTTAATTTCTATGACGTGTGTACCAATTTTTCTAGTCAACAAAATGTGTATTTGAACACTATGACTCCGTATCACCTGTGTCCTGTCCTTGCTGCCTATTTCCATTCAGTTGCAAAGTCCTGCCCAATTGAAATTCACAATGTGTTTATGTTACCTTTTGGTAATCACTATTATCACCTGGACTATGTTTACCTGGACATATCGCCTGTTTTCTTTGCCTCTGTCTCTCTACTTCATCCTTAATGTATGTAGCCTCCAAATGAATATTCCTAAAGCACATAAGCACATATTCCTGATCACATAACTAATACTTTGTTTCCCAAAGTATATTCTGCAAAACTTCTACTAGAAATACAAGATACTCATTTGAAAAAAGGACATGAGACCAATGAATTTGGCAAGCGCATGCTTTTATTGCCTTCTTAGAGAGCCATAATGTGTAAGGGCACGTGAAAGGTTCAGAAAAAGAAATCTGGTTGGCGTTGTTTCAAATAGTGTTTCAAAAATGTATTTGTCCATAAGTTTAAAATATTTGCATACTACTGCCTTCCTGAGGAGCCTCTCTTCTACAGAAACATAATTAGAAATGCTGTGCTTAAAAAGCTCCGTTGGCTCCCTACTGGATCCAATTTTTCAGATATTAGGAATGGATTTTTATATAGTGTGGCAGATTTTGGTAAGCTTCTAGAATTTTAGGAGTGGGGCACGGTGGGTTGAGCCTGTCCCAGCTACTTAGGAGGCTGAGGTGGGAGAATCCCTTGAGCCCAGGAATTGGAGGAAATATAGTGAACTACAATCACACCACTGCACTCCAGCCTGGCCAACAGGGAGACTCCCTCTAAACAAACAAACAATGTCATCCATTAGGCAGATAGGCTGGTTTTCCCACTCCTGGTATGATAAGGTTCAACCCTGTGTTTACTGCACGTGATGACCCATACCTATCAATGTCTTTGGCAAGTGGGTGGGAGAAGGGATTCCCTAGACACTGAAGATCAAAATTGGCATTGTTATTGATGACAGACATTAGGAACATCCCCTGATGAATGCAGATGGGTGCAAGTGTTATCTTAACAATGCTAATAATGTATTTTCTTTTTAAAATAACAGTTTACTTGGCTCTTTATTTCACTAGAATATCTGAAGGCTGCCCTACTTCAAAATGCACTGCTAAATCAGAGGAAGAAAATATTGCCTTCAACTTCCCAAAGACCTGAGAGTCACCGAAGCAGTGTAACTCTAATACATTGCACACTTCAGAAACAGACATTTAAGGCTTTCCATAATCTGACCAGGCTGCATTGCCAGCCTTTTCTCCTTAATTCCCCCAGGTGGTTGCTGCTCTTCTCTGCATCTGTGCCTATGC